AGAGGCTCGTACTCACTTTCATGAAGATGAGATCCCAAGCTTGGCTCTCTACGTGAATTTTGGTTTCAAAGCATATCACAAACAAATGGAGTTTTAAACTCGTTTGGTTTGGTTATTATTTTTTTCTACAAGTCGTACTCATTTCGCCACCCCCAAGTTATCGGAGTGATTTCTACCGAAGTCGCATAGTGGAAACTGTGTCAGTGATTTTCGCGCGAGTTGGCGCGTATTGGAGTTCGGCCCTTGGACGGTCACACCCACCCAGCTCTCATCGCATCTCCTGTCACCGACATTTGGATTATGGATACAAACCTCTGCACATCAGGAAGACTTTGGATTATCGTGTATCAAGAATGTGTGTCCAAGTTTTTTTTTGGAGATGTGAAAGTGAAAGTGAAATACTGTGGAAATTAGTGAATTAGTGAAGTGCCAATTTCATGTCAGCCGACGACGTAGTGCTCCCCAACAGTGGTCATATGTTGTGTGACATTGTGTACTCATTCACAGACAGCTGACCTCTTTCATGTGAATTTCGGTGTTTCTTTGGAAGTGGAATTCTAAGAAGAACATTGGTGTGAAGTGCAGTGTGTTCCATTCATTTGGTAGAAATATGTTCACTGTGAGGTTATGGATTGTTTTGTAACAACAGACTTCAGGTTGTGTGAAGTGACAGTGTTTTCTTCAGTGAAGTGGATTACCATTTTTTTGGATTATTTGACATCGCTGGATTTCATCGTACTGTGAGTAATATATGAATGTGTTAATTAATTTCCTCTCAAGAATACCATATTGTTTATTTCCCTCAAATTGTAAATTCAAAATAGTTATTTATTTATTTATAATTGATTGAAATACAGAGACATTAACATCATGTTTTCCATTTAACTTCATGACCATTATTTTAACTTAAAATTCAGATCCATTTAAAACAATCTCTGGGAAGATTTAACCAATTTTTTTTCAATGTTATTGTTGCTTTCTTAATTTGTTATCCATCAATTCCGTCACATTGAGTTCTTTATTTACGTAAGTTTAAGCTTTTAACAATGAAGTTAAACCTTATTAGTTTGGTATCACTTATTGTGTTGTGATATTACCTAAATAGTCCATTATTGTGTTAAGGGATAGCATTAATGTATACCAAAGTTGAGGTCATTGTTATGTTTTCCTATGTATCTGTTAATATCATTGAGTTGAATATTGAAACGTTCCTTTCAACAGTATTTATAATTTTAAAAGGGAGATCAGGAGGTTGTTTGGTTTAGTCCTCTCATGATGGATATAGTCTCGGTTTTGGGTAATCTTATTGGCTTAAATCAGCTTGAAGCTAGATTCAGTTCTCATTTGACCCATCAGATTACCCAAAACAATTGACGGGTGGCTTCAGCTTTACTTGCTTCACTGAGACTTAATCGATCATCAGGCCCTCTTTTCTTGCAGTGTTTATTTATTACAAATGAGTGGGTTTAAAACCACTCAGTTAATGTTGAAATTATAAACATGCTACCTTGAGATCGGACCTTTGAAGGATCAATTAATATTTTATGTTATTTTATGTGGTTCATCCTCAAGATACATGGTTTTGTTTGAATCCATGGTCCTGTAATTATTTGTCCCAGTGTTCAAGTGACCTCATATTAAATTTCTTTCAATTTAGGACTTTTCTATGACACATTTTATAGAACTGTGTATGTTTTAAGCATTTTAAAGAAATTGAAAAGCTTTCTGAGATTTATTGATTTGTGCATTGTCAAACTAAATAGCTGTTTTCTCAAATGTATCATTCCTATGTTTCTAATTTCATCTAATGTGGGAAACTTTAAAAATGTTAATGCATATTTAAAGCAGTTTCCTACATTTCTGAATTGCTGAGCTGTCTGATTCTTCACTTAGTCTGTGAATACACTTCAAAGACTAACTACAATTTTAGAGATCTGATCTCCTTTCTCTTTGCTTTTAACAGAAAGGTGATTGAAGTCTATTGGACAGCATGCCAATCAGCAGATGACTGTAGCTGATATCAGTCTTGCCTAGCATCATGAGTGAGGTGGCTGCAGCTTTGGCTCGTCAGCCTGATGCTGCTCTGCTGAAACGGCAGAAGCTCGGCTGCTCAGCCTCCATCAATGTTCCACCAGTACATGGACGACCCTCCCCCAACCCTGCTCAGCTACATGTGCGGACAAGATTATCAAATCATCAAAGGAACCTTAGCCTGGATTTCAGGTACTAACCAACAAGGAACAGTATAGGTTATCTTAGACGTATATATTGGAACAAAAATTTCTGACAAGTACAATTATTGCTGACAAGTAAAATCATAAATAGAACTTGTAGGCAGCACTGTGTCACTTATTGCTGTATACCTCAGTTTTGTATAGCAGTTTAACATGACAGTGACTTTTATTCTTAAAAACTTGTCTTGCAACCTTTTTCCCGACCACAGATTTCTTGAATCTGATAGCTTACTTTTGATTTATTTTATCAGGTCAATGGGGATACTTCTCCCACCTGTATCTCAAGTAACTACAGTGGGCCCAACTCTAACTTCCCACCACCGAAACAGAAGTTTGGATAGTGCATTACAACGGATACCTGAAGTTGATGTTACACCAAGTCCAGAATGTGAGACAGACCGCACTGTTACTAGCAGAGTTCCATGCCATGCAACTGAAAAACCATGTACTAATCCAAAGGTATAATTCATGTTGCTCTCCCTGTATTACTAATTGTATTTGGAGTTTGAACTTTGCTTTATTTAACAATTTTCAATTTATTTTCTTACAGCCAAGCAACAGAGAGGACCTGGCTAGCCTAGGGTCAGATGATTCTGGGATTCTGTGTGGCTCTGACAGTGATGTGAACACGGCAACAACCCGAGAGTCAAGTGTTGAGCAGCTTACTGCACATAGTAGAGAGAGCCTCAGTGAAAGAGAAGCAAGACTCAGTGATAGTGACCACAGTAGAGGAAGTTTCAGTGAGAGAGGAACTCGACCTAGTGATAGTGACCATGACATGGAAGGGGATTCGGACCATGCTGAGGTATGATTATTAAATTGTTACTTCCAGTTTTTAAACATGAATTTCTGGAAAAGTTAGTTTTCTATCTACTTTGTTTCACAGGGTGTTGAAAATGAAAGGGAGTACTGTGGTGGTGATGCTGATTACAGTTGTGATGAGACATCAGAATGCTCAGTTATAAGGGCATCTGAGTCTTGTTTAGAAATTATCAACCCCCCACCAGAAGCAGCCAAAAGCTTTTTACTGAGGCTTTTTGAGTCAAAACTCTTTGACATGACCATGGCCATCACTTACCTCTTCAAATCAAAAGAACCAGGAGTACAAAGTTATATTGGTTTGTATCTGTTTTAATTTCTATCTGCCATTGGAAGTCTAAAACAAAATTGTTCTAATAATCCATCTAAATTTTCCCCCACAGGAAACAAAATGTTCAGTTTTCCAGATGCTGATGTAGATTTCTACTTGCCTCAACTGGTCAGCATGTACATTCAAATGCATGATGTTGCTGAAGTCATTCACCCTTATCTTGTTCATAGGTATGCATTCAAATTATTAATTGTTTGGAAAGTAAATGTTATCTCTACCTCAATGCATTTTACATAATTTCTTGTCCGTTACTAGATGTCGTCAGTCAGCTGACTTTTCACTGAAATGTGCATGGCTTCTTGAAGCTTACTGCTCAGATGCACCAGTACCCACCAAAAAGAAATCACATGGTACAAAGCTTAAGAGTGCTATTCTCTCAGACCAATACAGGTTAGTTGTCTTTGAAGATTTTAGAGATGCTGCACCAAACACAATTATTATGAATTGTCTAATCCCAACTTTCTATCTCTTATCTCTCTGCTTAGACCAAATTCTCAAGAGAGAAGGTCAAGACCGAGTGTTGTTGGATCAGCCTTTGACCCTTCTCAAGTGCCATTACCTCCACCTTTACCTCCTCTTGGTGTGTCAAACCTTACATCTGTTAGCAAGAAAACACATCAAAGGTCAAGGTCTGATGCCACTGGTCTCATTCAAAGTAGTCGAAGAGTTCTTGGAGCTGGTATGATGAGTTAATCTATGAAACTTGATTTGTTTTGATCTTAGTATGTATGCAGGACTGAGTTCTCATGTCTTTCTTTTTTTAATTATTTAGCCTGCAACAAAGTTTGCCTTGGTGATTTGAGTTCAGGTCGTGCCTTTGAAAATGGATGTACTTGCTTTGAATCCTGCCTTGGTGTAGTAAATGATCTGAGGGGTAGAAGAACTCACTGTTCCTGTGATGTAAGTATTATTTTGTCAAATGAGTACAACATTGATTTCAGACAGAGAAGTTCTGCATTGTGTATCCTTTTTTCCCCAGGCACCAAGATTAGCACCTCAATTAGAATTTGTAAAAAGTCTTATTTCAATTGGGAAACTCTTAAGTAGTATCCCAACAAAGGAGGGAAAAACAGCCCGTCTCATGGCCGAACTCAATATGCTCAATCTCAATCTTCCTGCCAGAGTATGGCTACCAATCCACGCCAATATTCCTCATCATATTGTGCGAATTCCACCACAGGCAGCTGCTGTGCTCAACAGTAAAGACAAGGTATGGACCTTTGAGCTATTTGATCAATCATTTATTTTGTTCATTATTTGTTCATTTTCGTTTACATTTACACCTCTACTGTTACAGGCTCCTTATATTTTGTATGTAGAAGTTGTTGAGGTGGAAGATTTGCACACATCACCCGTCCCCCCTAAAGCCATGTCGTCTTTGAGGCACACTCGCTCTGAAGAGAATATAGCTGGTGCTAATGATACTGCAGTTGAACGCCCTTCTAACTGTGGAGCATTTAGCATTTACAGTAGTCCTGATGAAGAAACAACTGGAGATTGTTGGAGTCAGGAAGACGACGAAATATCTCAACAGGTGCGTATTTGCTTGAATTTGATATTCTTCTAATCTAATCTAGTATCTATGTATTGAATGGTCAACATTTTTTATTTTCAGTATACTCAGTTAAGAAGGCCTATGGATAGAGATACCATATCTCAGCTCTCTCAAGAGTCAAGTGATTCACGGGAACCTCCAGTTTTAATTGCTGCTGGTGAAATTAGGAGACGTCTTTCAGAATCTCTTCATGACTCTCAGAGGTCAACATTCACAAGAGATGCAGAGGATCCATCTGCCCATGTCTTAAAGGTTTGTTCCTGATTTCATTATTTTCTGACGCTCTCAACTATGGTATACATATTTCACCCATCACTGTTTGTGTATGATGTTTGAACTTGAATTTATGGTGCCTTTGCATTTTAGGAGCCCTGGGAGGAAAAGGAAGCTCGTGTGAGGGAAGCTTCACCGTATGGTCATTTGGCATCTTGGAGATTACTTTCAGTCATTGTTAAATGTGGAGATGATTTGCGGCAAGAGCTTCTTGCATCCCAGCTACTTTCCATGCTCCAGAGAATATGGGATCAGGAAAGAGTTCCTCTGTGGGTCCAACCGTACAAGTATGTGTAGTCATTGTCTTTTGCTCAAATTTACTTTTTACTGATTATGGAAACTAATTTTGTGGAAATACTTTTCAGGATCTTATGTTTGTCTAACGATTCCGGTCTTATTGAACCAGTGCTCAACACTGTGTCTTTACACCAAATTAAGAAACACTGTCAACTTTCTCTTTATGAATACTTTCTAAGAGAATATGGCCCTCGGAATTCAGAGGAATTTCTAACAGCTCAGAGAAACTTTGTTCGGTCTTGTGCTGCATACTGCCTTATCTGCTATTTAGTACAAGTGAAAGACAGGTTAGAGACATTGTGTTTGAACTTCTCCATTATTTGTTTTTGTGGAAATAGCCATACTTAAATACACCTTTTATTTCAGGCACAATGGTAACATCCTGTTGGATAGTGAAGGCCATCTGATTCACATTGACTTTGGTTTTATTTTATCATTATCTCCTCGAAATTTGGGCTTCGAGACATCACCTTTTAAACTTACTTTGGAGCTCGTTGAAGTCATGGGAGGCCTTGGCTCAGATATGTTTGAGTATTTTAAAATATTGATTCTTCAAGGCCTGGTTGCTGCTCGCAAGCATCATGACAAAATTCTCTCTCTTGTAGAAATTATGCGTTCAGGTAAAAGATTTAACATATTTCATGTGTTCAACAAATTGGCTTGAGTTATAATTGCCTTTACTACAGCTTAAAAATTAATTTTCAGGTTCTCAATTGCCTTGCTTTAAGTCTGGTGCAGCCACAGTACAAGGACTGAAAAATAGGTTCCACCTCAATCAGACTGAGGAGCAGTTACAGCTCCTGGTGGATGGTCTTGTTGAATCTTCGATTCATTCACTTTCTACCAAACTCTATGACGGCTTCCAATACCTCACCAATGGCATTCTCTAAGGTACAATAGACTTTGATTTGATCTCTCACAGTTCTAAAGCAGGTTCATTAGACTCAATAGGCACTGTTTTGTTATAGGTGACCAGAGCTTTACCCTTTTACCCACAGAATCTCTTAATGGGTTGCCAGCTAATCCCCTCCAGCTTCCTTCACCAAGCAACCTTGCTCACATTTCCTACTGATTCCTTCTTCTCATAACAGGATTTATATCCATTTGATGCTTATATTCCTACCTAGTTGCTTATTGTAAAACTTGCAGCTTGCTTTCAAATCTAAAATGTTTCTATACATGATGACACAAATACCCTGCTTATAAATTTATGTGATCTTTATGTTCAAAACCTCAGAAGTTAAATATTTCTTTTCTGTTTTGTTTTAGTTTTACGTGAAACAAATTTTTAAGTCCATGCTGTCAATGTGCTTGAAAAGTTTTTAATCACCATTGCTCATTTTTATTTTTCACTTGATTTTCATTTTAAAATTTATGAACAGAGAACTGTCAGAAATAAGGCATAAAATGGCACTAAGGTGTATTTCCATTCATTTTTCTTTTAAATTGTTTTGTTGCAGCATTGGATTACAAAAGTTATTCCCAGTGAAGGGACTGTTAAGAAAAATAACATCTCTTCCAATCGGCTCCCTCTGAGAGGGTTGTGAATGTTCCTTGCGCTTCGCAAACACAGACTTTTTCAAAAAGGACGTCCTTTGGTCGCCCAACTGATCGACTGAGTGTTTTTTACTCTGTTAACATTGTATGATTTGTAGATTGTTTTGGAAGGAATGAAAAACTGAATGTAGATACTTTCAACTTCCAATTTGTCATCCTGTTTGTACATAGATATCTCTAAGTGATTAAGCAATATTGTGAATTATTGTATTATAGTAATATATATACTGTATATGTATAGATAATTATGTATTTTGAATGAAACCGAGCCAGCTTGTCCTATGCAGTGAAGCTGTACCTTGGTGTCAGCTACTTTTGTAAATACGTGGATGCTGCCTTTGATGCTCTTCATTTTATTTATGAGTTCTCTTTTCTTTTATTTCAGTGGCAGATGTTTTGGCTAGCTTTTACCCTATAACCTATGTTGCAAATTAGAAAACATTGTTTGATGTTAAAAAAAAAGTAATACAAATAATTGGGGTTTTTGTATGCAACCATCTGTTTGCATGTTGTTACTCATGTGTTTTGAGGGTGGCCTCAATATGAAAAGATTGATTTTATGTATTGTTCAATTCATCTGATAATCAAATTTAATATGTCTCTGACATAATTGTTTTAAATTTAAAATGATTGTGAAATTAACTTTTATCCTTAAATAGAAGAGCTTTTGTAAGACTGATGGGCCATGTGTGAAATACCACAAAATGTGTGTTTTATCAATATTTTTTTATCTCAACATGTAGTTTATTTGTGTTCGTGGTAAGTCCTTGACTGTGACTTTCTGTTTCCTTTCCGGTTACTTTCAGCATATTATTTTAGTGTTTCAAATTAATTTTTTATTGTCTCTTTTTCTTACATTTATTATGAAACGTGCTATTAAACCATTGTTTAAGATTTCATCATGTTTTGTACTCTTTAAAGCTCGAATTGTATTGCTTCTAAATATACCTTTGTGGAAGAGTAGACTTTTCCGTCCTCTAGCTCCTCTTAGACATCTGCATTTTGTCCATTCATCTTATTCAACCAGTACTGAAGAACAAGATGTTCTAAAGGCTGAACTATTCGTCAAGGTTGCTTTACCTGTTCACATCTTAAATCAAAATGTAATTGGGCATGGGATTAGAATGTGATCCTGTACTTTTAATTGTGCAAGGTGCTTCCTGTTAAGCTCTTTCTTGACTGTTACAATCTGAAGAGTGAGAATAGTACATGGCCTATGGTATGCTAGTCGTCTTAGCGTCAAGGAATGCGTTAAGTCAAATTTTAAGTCAACAGCTTAGAAGCAGAGTTGAACTTTTCTTCTTGATAGTATTGGAGTTAAGAAGCAACTTCCCCTGTGTAAAAACATCACTGGAAAATCTCATTCTGTCCCATGCCTACTATTGTTCGCCATATATCATATTCATCAATATCATTGTATAGTGCTGTCATTCCATTTGTATTTTAAAAACTAAATATAATTATATGTTGAAATTCAGTTTATTATCTCAATCTTTCCTCTTCACTGATTGATCTTTTAATCTACACACTTTATTTTTGAAGGTGGTTGCCAAGATGAATTCTCACCTGAAACACATGTAGCAATGCTACACTACCACGCCTGGAGTACTACCTGTAACATCACATGGTGCTCGTGCAGGTCAACAAGATCAGTGCAAGTGCTAATGGAAACAGTGCTACAGAATTAGGACTAACCAGAGCGCCCTCTTGAGAGAAGGGTCGGAATAGCAATATTTGCAGGTTGGCTGACAGGAGTTGGCCTTGTAGCAGTCTGAGTGCGTGGTGGAATTTTCTCCGCATTCTCACTTTCAATTTCTTCAACCTAGTTGAAATTAACAAGAACAGATATTGTAATACCTCAACACTAAAAAACGTGCTCCAATTGTATTCAAGGTGCAGTATTAAGACCTACCTTGTGATCAATGGCACGGAACTGCCACAACCATTTGTTATTGTACAGGAATGGTCTATGATCAAAACGATTATCATCTGGAGAATATGTCTCTGCATGAACAGATGGAGTGACAACTGTCATTTTGTGTCTATTAATTGCGTAGCATCTGAAGAAATGTTTTACTTTTTCAGCGATCTGAATAAAAGAAAAGTTAAGGTATAAATTTTTTTACCACATCACAACAAGAACTTACCACAGCAGGTGAACAGAATGATCCCCAAAGTGACATAAGCTTGCAAAACATAGAGTATGGTCCACAGAAAAATTGTTTTCTCAAACGCCCATATTCACTCAGCTCTGCATAGGTCATACCCATATCCTGCTCATCAGTCTGAGCAATTTTACCATCTGCTGCAAGAGGTTCCAGCTCAGCAGTCGGAGGTGCTGCGACAATGTCAGCTAGTACTGTCAATTTGTACCTAGGAGAAGGAGTTTGATGAATAGAGGACTTCAGTAAAAATAAGAAAAGTAGAAAAATCAACCAGGAACATAGAGCTCATTTATTCTGAGCTATGACTGGCCGTGAGCAGACAAGGCACATCCAAATGAGCTACTGGCAGACAATCTTCCTTATGCTGAGGTTCTCTATAGTTAAATTGATAACTAAATTTGAAGTGTTTGAACTGACAAGAATATCTTGCACACATATTGTGTATAAATTAGGGACAAATTGCAGGCCTCAACTGAAATGAATGCAGAAAAGTTGGTATTTTCTTACTTTTCCCTCATGAAGTGAAGAAATCCTCTTAGATCAGTTTTTGATATTCCTCCAATGGGGTTAACATCTGCACTGGAACAGTCATACTTCGTCATGTAACCCCGTAATGCCTCATCAACATTTGCAGAACCCAGAACAAGAAGGCCCCCCGAGCGCCCTCTTGCCCACAACATTAGCTGAGCAAACAAGTACGCCAAAACCATTCTCAGTCGAGCCTGTAAAATCATTGAAAATAAGCTAATAGAACCACCAAAACTCTACTGCAAATATTCTTACGTATACAAGGTTACTTATGAGAATCAGGAGTCGTACCTGAATATTTTGTAATGCGAGGGATTCTCGTGGACTTCCACCATGGGATCCAAACTTAGGGACAAGTCCAGTAACAGCTGTGAAAATTCCTAGAACTGCTTGTACTGCTAAATCTATGGTGATGGATGTATGGTAACTACAAAGAAGATTAAGGGTTAATTAAGGTCGCTTCACACATATTCAGATCATTTAGAGAAAAAGATACCTTCCAATTTGCTGTGCTAAAGTAGCTGCCCGATTCCTAGTTTCAGCTGATGAATTTTCACTTCCCATGTAACATGTGACAAATATTCTGCTACTAAGTTCTTGAGGTTGAATTGGCGTGTAATCCACATCACATACCATTTTACGCACATCAGCAAGAACTTGGTTATCTATTCCATGGAAAATCGAACAAGTAAAGAATCACCATAAAATGAAACTGATATGGTGTAGAACTAAGTAAGTTCGAAGAAAAAAAATCATACCTCCAGATTTAACAGCTTCAACAACCATGCAGCACATTGAGTAAACCATGCAAGCTGTACTAGATGAATCTACTCCACCACTAAGAGGAAGAAAGAAACCTCCCTGACCAGAGCGTCTGTAAAAATTAAAATACATAGTATTGTTGTGAATCCTTACAGTATTTTGACCAGTATTAATGGAATTATGGAATGTACTTTCACCTCAGATAGTCCCACAACCAGCATGCTGGTCCAAGAGAAATCTCTTCTTCTGGCTTGTGGTAAATCCATTCTAAGGGAGCATTAACAGGTCCAGTGTCATTTGAGTGCTTGCCTAAGACCATGTCAACTGAAATTCTAGGATAGCTTGGGGCTCCACTGGCTTTGAGAGCTAAAGAGCGCTTGGAATTACGGAAAGTTCTAATGTCTTCAAGGTCAATTGTTGCCACTGTCACTTCCTGCAAACAACACAATTTTTTTAAAATCAAGTATGTTACAAAGCTAAAGTGAAAAACATTGTATGCAACAACTATGTTTACAATGTTTTAAAAAAGAATAAGAATGAATAGCATAAACAGGTTACCACTTAAGAGAGACCCTATTGTAAAAATACTGTGTACTTTCTACTACTTACCACATCTTTTAATGAAAACTGCTTGCCCTTGCTCACTATGTCTCCATTCACTGCTATGCAAGAGCACCCATTAAAGAAAACTCTTTGTCCATCACATCCTCTCAGGTTACTATACAGATAACAGCCTCCTGCCTAAATGTAAGAGATGCAATGAGTCACTAAACACCATACTCTTTATGAAGAAATAAAAATTATGCTTTACCTTAGATGTTGCAGATTTAATTAAGTCCACAACTACATTACTCTTCCTAAGTTCAAAATAGGATCCAGAGCCATTGACAATAAGCTCCACACCATCTTCTGCAAGAGCTATGTGTGTGCTGGGGAAAAATATATGATTATATGATTGTATTTTAGTAGCAAGTAAACATATTAAATTTGATGTACCTGTGTGGATTCCAAAGCTCTTCACAAATTTCAAACCCTATGGAAGTATCAACAGTAGAGATTATAGCATCACCGAATGGCACGACTGTTTGATCTGTATAAACTGAAACTATGCGTGGAAGGCAGTAATCCTCAACTTGGCGTTCCTAGAGAAGGGGAAAAGTTACTAACATTGGCTTCTGTTTCCATCCTTAACTACTATACACTATTCTAAAAATAAATAGACAAACCTTTTGCCAGGGTGTAAACCACCTAGTTTCACGGTAATTTCCACTATCACATAGAATCATTTTTGGACGAATCAATAAAATTTTCCTGGATGAAAATTGAGCATAAGAAAAGGTGTAAAAAGAAGAAAGACAACAAGTCTGTAAAACCTCAAGATTCTTTTTTAAATTCTCGGCAATACCTGTTATAAAATACAACCCGACAGTTATAAGTAACATTGCGATGCATGACAGGCATGCCTACATCAATGAGCATGTCTTCAGCAACAGGTGAGATGAGTATCTCTAGTAGAGTTTCCCAGCTGTGTAAGAGAGTATCACTTTCCAAAAAATGGTCTTCACAACTGTAGCCACTGAAAAGTAAAGTTTAACATGAAAGCTACAGACAAAAGTCAATTCCCGATTACACAAATATGGGAGAAATATTTACCATAACTCAAGTTCTGGGCCTGTTCTATAAGTAGCACCAGCTTCTTTTGCAAGCCGAATGCTCTCTAAAATCCGAGCAACATTGCCAGCAAAGTCCAAAGCCCATTGATTCAGGGTAGCGACTGCTACAGTAACTTTCCGCCCCATTTTGACCACTGAAATACAATGAAAGGCTCAGCATTACTTAAGATAATGGTAAAATATTTGAAGTGTTACAAAGACACTATAACAAAACTGATCAAATATGGTAGTAATATTAGTTCAAAGTTCTATGGATTAAAAATGGTTGCATCAAAGAAGAACATGATTTAAATCTAATCTGAACAAACAAGAAAATTGTAGAGAGACGACAGTGATGAAACATGGCATGATTTGAATTAAGGCTCCTATGTAACATCGACAAATAAAGGAAGGTTAATTAATTGCTGCTAGAGAAATTTTTGTCGAGAAGTGATCAAACGACGATATTCGATGAAAGGAACAATCAGTATAGGACCAAGACCAAGTGAAGGTTACCGACATCTAGCAGAACAACTCACAGTCACAGATCTAAGAGTCGGCGAAGTAACGCATAAGATTAACGAAAGTCCTCCAAAGATTAGTTTCTGTAGTACAAATCAAAAAGCTGTGGAGGTCACGAACATTCTTCCAATGTTGGATCAATGCGAAGTAGGTTGCTACGATAAACTTGGAGCCCTTCTTTCACACGCGACAACACAAACACAGCACCCCCAGCACCCCACCCCTTCCCTTACCCTTCACCCCTTCTGCTTCCCCTTCCCCTTTTTCGATCCCCTTCACCCTTCCCCTTTCCCCGGCGGAACTACCAACCTGGTTAATTAGAACTAAGTAACTAAAAGGTAACACAAAAGTATCATTCATGAATTATTTTTTTATCTTTTCACATCAAAAATATAGTACTTAAATATTTTTCTTAGCCTTTATTTTAGAATACTTTGCTACAAAGTCCCCCCAGGAAATCCAACCATGCTACACGGTTGGCTGTGCTGTACCGGCTTTACTTTTCAAAAAGAGCGTTCATCAACAGTTGGAGTGTGTCCGAATTCAGCCACCGACCGAGCACCGACCGGTCGGTGCTCGGTCGGTGGCTGAATTCGGACACACTCCTATCCTTTTACCGCGAACCGAATTTCCTAGTGAAGGGCTAGATTTTAGAACTGTTAGCATTCAGTTGCATATTTGACATAACGGGATCAAGCTCTAATCTGAGCTGTACCGAGCGATAAGAGTGTATATATTGATGGTATGTTACAGTCCGACGTCTACTACGCATGATTCGGAGCATCGTTGACTTGTAGCTCAGCTGGTGAAAGGGCAAACGACACCTCGGTGAACCGTTATCTTCTCTAAACTTTCTTTCCATTTCCTCTTCATTGTTCACTCTCTTGGGAGCCGCTGGACGTCTGTGTTACCATCCTCTTTAACTGCCTGTAAGAGTACTTTCTTTCACTTTACCCTTTGACCCTTAACCTTAGTTTGACGTCAAACTTATTTCAACGAATCATATTCAATGGGATACTTCTCGTTGACTTTCACTCTCATAGTAGAAAGTAAACTTTGGACCCTCCCCTTCTTTTTCCTTTTGCATTTTTTCGGATTATTATCTTCTGAATCCTCCTTGACTTTTGATTTCGTGCTGTCAGACCCAATGCATTTTGCATGTTTTCTTTCTTGTTTATTTTCCCCAAGTAGCAACCATGAGCCCCTTCCTCCCTACAATTTCCACTTGCGAGCTGGTTAAGTTTTTGCTTTTTTTTTTCGAAATTGTTTTAGATGACGGGTCCACGAAAGACTTTGCACACACTCCAGACTGCTGCTGGAGACAAGGAAAATCTTGTTGGACCAGGGAGAATGTTGTGCATAGTTGATCGAGATAATCTCAAGGGTAGTTTGAGGTGAGGAAATTTTTTAGTATCATATCCTTTACTGTTTCAGTTATGTTATTATTGTCTGATAATGTCAATTTAATGTAATTGCTTAATTTTTTTAGGGAAGTTAATGAAAATGACAAAGCCCAAGACCAGTCTAAACAACTAAAGCGGAAGAAAACTACTTCCAGGGCAGTACAAGCCGGAAAGGAAAAGTCAGCTACTGTTACTGCTGATGACTTAACATCAGGTATGTTCTATGTTTGTAGGATACAATTGGAAAGTAAGGTAATATCTGATATTTAAAAAATTTGCTTCACCAGAAAGTACCAGTGAGAGGTACTGGGAGAGCCTGGCAGAACAACGCCGCATTGCTCTTGAAGCAACTTTAAAGGAGAATGAGGAGCTCCACTATAAAAATGAAGAGTTGTCCAAGAAAGTGGCCATTTTGGAAGAGGAAAATCACACTGCCAAAGAATTGTTGAGAGAATCAGAGACACTTGTGGATGTACTAAAGGTATGGGACTTTCACCAGACCGTCACATTGAATTGCACTGTTTTGTCATCAATGCTATAAGAATTAATTCACTTTTTATCTGGACTAACAACACTATTTTCTCTAATTGCAGGAGATGATTGGGGGTGACGACACGGCTGATGAGAGCAGCCTAATTGATAACTCCTATGAAGTGTAACACTTAAGATGAAAATATTTTTATTTTTTGTAGTTTTTGATCTCATATCTTGTGCAGTTTCTGCTTTTTTTGTATTAATTGCTTTGTAAAATCGAGTAATTCAAGTTATATATTTATTTTAGTCGGATCATTCTGCACATTGTTTAACCACATGACTAAGATTAGTTTTATGTTTTGATGTCCTCATCAGAGGTTAAAGTAAATATCATTTTGAGTACATTGAAGGCTCAATTTTCTGATGCTACCTTAATGCCCAAACTGCCACATCAATGACTTTATAAACTAGAGACTTGTTCAGTAAGTTGCTAGTCACGGCTAGTTTTATAGTCATACAGAACACACATTTTCTACATCAAATTCGTAACTTTGCATGTATGCCAGCTGATAAAAACTGTTGAAGGTTACCTTTGTGAATTTTACTACATACAAAGAAAATTTCCACTAAATCATTCATACTTCATTTTTTAGATATTTTATTTTCCTTGAAATGAAAAAGTTACATCCTAACTAGAGAGAGAACTTCTCTAAATTGTTGGCTTTTCTTGAAGTCAGCCAGGTACAGTGTGTTTCTAAATTTGAGGTTTGACACTTATTGACAGGTAGCGTGTAAACAGATGTTTCATAAAAGCCCGCCATTTAGTGCCAACGGCACGAAAGTAAAAGGTGAAATTGAACTCGTTCGTTAAGAATTGAACGCGAGTAATCATAATGGATTAAAAACATCTTTTTTCCTAAGTTTAGGAAAATGTTGCATCTTAGTGTAGATGCAATGTAATTTTAACGGAAGTGTAGTGCTTTACGCAGTTTACGCCTTCACTGAGACTGACCCCACAGACTGACTGTGCAGACGACAAGATTGTAAGAATCGTCGAAGCCGTGATCAGGTGCACGGGCAGTCATATGACAGTCCCAGTTCCTGATATCGGGGGAAAAAATATGTTGATCTCAACTTTCATTGCCGCCCTCTGCATTGCTGGTAAGAATTTATATTCCAATGCAATCATACTATTTTGTCTGTATACCCTCACGTTGTTATTATTATCTGCAGTACTTGAAACAAGGTTGTCTGTTACAAACGTCGATGTTGTTCCTAACCAAACTCTCCTCCCAAGTTTATGACACATCTTAAAACAAGCACGCACCGCCCATACCATTATAAATTTATGTCATTTGTCGTTCCAATTAGCTGTGGCAGCAGAGGGTGAGCTTCAAGTTCTTCATTCGACTGATTCCCTTCACTTTCACGGTCATGAACGGTTGTCTCAAGACACATTGAAAGAAGTACTTTCAGCTTCCTTAGGATTTACCATTGAAAAGGTGAGAAAGAGTTAGTTAAAACCACAAGACTCCTCTCAACTTTGCATCACATCCCTCTAGTTTCTCTTTTGTTCACATTATTGTAAATATGTATTTTCAATTTCAGAGCAGTGACTGGAAAGGTCTCCGCATTTTGGATCCATTCCAGTACAGTGAGGCAGTAGCTGTGCTGGTTGTGGATGGAGTGAAAAACTTAGACTCTAAACTTCCTCATATCCACCGGTATCCCTTAACAACAACAGAGCACGAGGAGGATACCTGGCAGTCTTTGCGATCACGTATTGATGCAAGATTCCCCCACAAAGTTCACAATAACTCTGTGTACCGTGTGGATCTCCAAGATATTGTGACAGTAAGTAAAGTATCTGTAAATCACTTGCTTGCTTTCCTTTCTCAAAGGTTTCACTCTTTAACGTTAGCATACTTTCTCACTGTCACCATGTCTTTCATTTCACTATGTAGGGTGGACAATCCCCTCTTCTTGATGGTGTGCGTATTGCTCAAGATGCTCAGGAATACAAATACCTTGATGTGGATGTTGAGGAAGATGCTCAATTGTTAAAAGAAGTTCAAGTTCTTCGAGCTCTTGCTCACAAGGTATGTCCTATTTCAATAGCATTGAATGTGTTTGTAGACCATGGTACTTCAATTAACTAATTACTTTCAGATTGAGACACTGGGCATTGCTCACGATGGGCTTCCAGACCTGTACTGGATTGTGCTGAGGGGGCTTCATGCTGTTTCTGACCGCCATGGAGCTACTTCTCTAGCCACTATTGAAGCCAAACAGCTTGTTTCAGAAGCTGGGAATGCCCTCAGTCAAGCTTTCAGCAACGTATATGATGGCCGGGTATAACTAAAAAAAAAGAAAATTTAATACTTTTTAAAAATTCTACTGTATTTGATCTAATAGAGCTCATCTTTCAATTTCAGGTCGTATTTGCCACAGTAGCTACTGATTCCAGTCACACTCGCCGAGCTCGTAGCCTCCTCCAAGATAGCTCCGCAGACACACCTGTGGTAATACTTCATCTGGCTTTGATTACTGTCTCTCTAAAAATAAAACATAACCATAGAAATTGTTAAACATTGTGTGCTGTTTTTCAGACCATCGATGATCCAACTGCCTACAGTGATGACTACCCAGTTATTTTCAACATCATCCTCTGGTTTTCTGTTGTATTGATCTTTGCTCTTATTGCTATATCAGGTGTGTATGAAAAATCAAAATAGCTTCATTTAGTCACTATTTTAATTTTTCAGGGAGGCTGTATCTTAATGTTATTTATTATTTCAGTTGCTATTGCTGACATGGATCCAGGAAGAGACTCAATTATCTACCGTATGACAAGCACAAGGATGAAGAAGGATAACTAGGTATCTTGTTATTACCACAATTAAATCCTCAAGTGCTTCCGAGGGAAGCCCAAAGTCACCTCAGATGTCATGTACTTATTATTCAATCTTTTCTTTCTGCAGTATTTTAAACAAATCGTTTCTCATATCATAGGCGTTGCTTCAAAAAAAATGCCTGGGTGATATCTGGTCTGTAATAACTTAATTTTGAAAGCAATATTTAAGTTTGTTTTGGTATAAAGAAGTAATCTAATGTAATAGATATATAACTGGCAATGAGATATTTTATGGCTTGGAAGTCTTACTGCTTAATTCACATTTACATGCTTTAATTCCATTTCTTTTAATGACATTTTTAAGTGCATTTGTAAGCATTCCGAATCAATAATTGCCTTGTTGATGTACATTGTAGTGTATGTGTGTATGTCTGTGTGTGTGTGTGGAAGATAAAATATTGTACATAAATTTAGTCACATGTTGTTCAACTTATTTTTATGCTAGGTCTTATGTTGTTTCAACTCAGTAGCCCTCCTGTTGTGATTTTATATGATTTGTTATTCTAAAATTTTTGAAATCTTATTCATTAGTACTGTTACGTTCACAATGTAAGCAGGCAGGCAGTTGGTTCAGTTTTACAATTTCATGTTTGTAGAGTGCTTTCTCAGGCATTGGCTCATATTTCTGTATGGCCATATGATCTTGTAAATTTACTGTTGTTGAATTTTAAATGTAACTTATAAACACAAGTATCAATGACCGCACGTTTTTTTTTAGCATGTTAAAGACCACACATTCATTAAATATTTTAATGAAAACACCCTTGGTCCCGTAAGAAGATTGTAAAATTTGTATATTCAAATGTCATGTTGTTCAAAATTGTAGCAATGTATGTAAATGATAATTAAACAAATCCAACCAACAAACATTGTGAATTATTTAATTTTAATGGTACTCCACCACGTAACCACAAACACACCAAAATGAAGAGACGGCTCCGATTGTCCGAAGCTCGTTTGTCCGAACGTAATTTATCTATTTTAGTAAATAAAATGAGTAAAGTAGTTAATTACATTATGTCATTGCATTTAGTGGCAGTTGTTGAAATAAGAGCTAAATCAGGTACAGATACCATCAGGAGGGCAAACGAAGTGCCTAACTGCAGTTCCGGGCCTGGAAAAGGGTAAATGAAATAACTTACGCTATTTCACTAACATAAGTAACTAAATAATCTTATTTTTGAACAAGTCTTGGTTAGCGCCACGCCGTGGATCGGCTGTAGTGTGCCACGGCTCTCGGATCTGCGATGGGCGGGTCACTTTCCTAAGTGCCGGGCGCGGTATGGGGGGGGGGGCGAAATTGCCAAGTTCAGCGGTCTCATAGCGCCTTATAGGTAGGCAACATCTTGCTTGTAGAGCTTGCGTGTATTGCGGGATGGCCTACCCGGAGTCTCGCAGGCGCCGAGCCTCCC